CCCGCCCCTGAAAAGGCATTACGCACCAACTCAAAACCGAACCTAGATCTGCTCACGAACCTAGATCTGCTCATGTTGTAGCAACATAACACCTAGTAGAACGGCTGTATCAATTCGAACGACGGTTTGTGTGGATGTCGTTGGCTGCCAGACTTGTGTGTGTGTGTATCACGCAAGCATATCAATCCAAAATTGCATCAATCCGGGTTGGCGGTGGCCAACACATAAAGTTGCGCGAGTTTGCCCTTTGTGTTCGTGCAAAGGCCGCTGCAATTTGTAGCGCAGCCTGGAAAGCCAGCTGCTGCCTGAGCAACATGACACAGGTCAAGTTGCCATGTTGCCACATGTTGTGGTCCTTGCAGAGTGTAGCATTTGGAGCACCCGTGTTATTCTGATGCAAGTGTGACTTGCGAGGAATACTTCCTGTTTGATGCACGACAAACTGCCCTGTCAACGCTTGAACTTGATGGCGTGAGTCTCAGCACATGTTTGGGGCAAGTTCTGTCTCTACTGCTTTGTGCGTGCACGAGACTCAGTTCCTCTTGATGAACTGGATCCCGAAGGTAACTTGGTCGCGTCCTCGGAGCGGGGCGTTGAGGAGCCATGGATTGCTCAAAGGCCGCGCAAGACTGTATGACGGGCCAATCATTTCCCATGTTACCAAGCTCTTGTGACCAGCTTGAATTCAACATAGTAAAACGTTCAAACCCGTATAATAAGCGTATTTCAGAGAATTACTGTATGGAAATGTACCTCAACACAATCGCATCTTCGGTTTTGCCAGCAAAAGCTCCAGGCGAGCGAAGGTTTCGAAAGGGTGTGAGCCATGCTGGAACCAGTGTGATCTTTGAGCAAGAAAATTTGGCATCTCGAGGAATGTTAGCCACCCTTCCCTGGAACTCGTCTCTTCCCTGCAACTGGCCAAGCATGCCTTAGGGCGCCTCTGCAAGAACCGCTGTGAGCTTGTGATGGTCGAGCCAGAGCAACCAAACAAGCGAAGTCGCTCGGACATGTGTGACTAGTAGGTTCTCGGCAGCAGCCATAAATTCAGGGGACGCGTTTGGTTTTTGTTCGTGTTCGAGCGGCTGCAGCGCCAAGCGACCTACGAATATCGGGCTGGAGCTGCCAAAGCTCACTGCGCAGTGCACCAACTGCAAGTGATGCCCAAGGCTTTTGCGTGCGCCGCTTGGCTGCGAATCTAAATCTAATGCATCGAAGGGGGGGGAAAGCGAGAGCTGCCTTTCCCCCGACACGAAAGCTGTCGAAGTTTCGTGAAAAGGCGAAGCGGATTGTACGATCTGGAACAAAACACAAGTGGACCGCCCTGATACGAAATATTAACCCATTGACCAGCTTCGTAGGAGCCCACGCAAAGGTTGCATCAGCCACGCGAATCTTTGGACCTCAGGTCAACATGTACATCCTCGACTGCGCTTCTCAGCACAAGGCAGATGGCTACAATCTCTTAGAATCACTTTGTTTTGGCTTCAGATGTGTAGTTTGTGACGTGATGTGGTTCCAGGATTCGGCAGCTCGACCATCCAAGGAGCATTTCAGGCCGTATTTTCACAGTTTCAGGACACCGTACTTTCGCAATAAAGATTGTAAAGCTTGGCAACGGCTGGCAAACTCGGGCAGCGCACATGCCAGTCACCGTGGTGCCTTGAACTCGCGATGGCAGCTCATGGCTACAGTGGCCACGCTGACCTGCCTTTTTTTCCGCTGCGAGCGGGGCTGGGTCACATGGTTTCTTGTCATAGCAACAGTTTGCGTTGCAGGCAAACACAGCTGAGCAGGAGGGCACGGACAAAGGCGTGAGTGGGCAATTTGGTGCGCGCTAAGCTTGTGCTTCGCACTAACTAGGCTTGGCATGCCCCGGCACCAGCATTGCGGTCATCTCCCATAGAGTCCACCCAGTGTCGCTGAGAGCTTAAACTTTGCACCGCCAGAATTGCTCCTACAACATTTTCAGGCTGGCAATCCGCGGGTACGGCTGGCACCCAGGCAGACAAAGTCAGATAGTGTCACACGCCTTTGCGGAATTGGAGGAACTCCGTTGCTCTACAGCGAGCCATTGGAAGGATTTGTTGACGGACCTAAGCTCAGCTGGGCTTGCGAGGGAGAAACAAAGCAAAAGCTAAGCTCAGCCTCGTTGAGAGCGGCTTTGCGTGGTCCAGTGCGTGCCTTGTTGAGTGCATGTTTGTTTGGCCACAAGTTCAAGGTCGATTTTCCGTTAGTTACGAAGTGCACGCAGAGGAGGATGCGCAGGAGCAGTTGCAGAGTTGCCTAACATTTCCTCGAGCGGTTCTGTTAGTAATTCAAGATACACTCTTGCAGGAGTTCGCCCTTGATCTGGAGGCGGGTGCGAAACATGCGCAAATGCCAAGTCACTACTATTTGTTTCTGGCATGCTTCCTGCTTCTGTTTCCTGCTGCAGTGTCCCTGGTCTGGTTGCTGCTTCGGGCCATTTTGCTGCTGAAGCTACACCGGAGATTTGGCCGAAACTAGTTGCCTTTGCTCAGGTCTGCGCTGGGCATGTCCGCTTGCAGACTTCCGCTTTGCCCGAGGCAAGGCATATCAAACCCTCTGCTTTGGTGAGCATGGCAATGTGCAAAGGATGGCAAAGGCTGGTGCCTTAGCACAGATGCCCAATTCAAGAGCATTCATGGCAATTTGCAAGGCACTGGATATGACCTCCAAGAGGGCTTTGCTCGCTTCAAGATGCCCTTAAAGCCCAACCGCTGGATCCAGGCTGCGAGCTGTTTGGACGTGCGCATTTGATTCAAAGATGGCAGCAACGCGTGGATGAGTAGGTCTCCTCCAGAGATGGCAATTATGCGCGCTTCATGATTCTGGTGCAGGCCATGCATGGTCACTTGCGCAAATGCAATGTACAACATTGATTGCTGCAAGGCTACTTGAGTCCCTCGTTGATGGTTCCTTTCAGCTGCGTTTGGCATGACGATTTCAACGGCGTTTGGGCTCTTTACTCTTGTGTTGTCAGGGAGTGAGCGACTTGGCCTGGCTTGATGCAGACAAAGGAAGGCGTGCATGCGTTCAAGTCTTGGCATGTGACAGCAGAGGGCGTGACTCTTCTTCGTTTTGGCAAAGACTCGGCAGAATGCTGGCTATGAATGAAGCTGTCTTGGTCCTGTCAGGCAGCTTCGTGTGGAGCAACGCGAGAGAAGCATGAGCCTAGTTGGACACTTTCTTCTAGTATGTCCTTAGATAGGAGGCGTGCGCCCTTGTCAGGAGTGGGATGCAGTGACCATGCATGGGCGAGGCTTGGCCCGTCAACATCAGCTTTGGGGAAGCCCGCATATTTTTTTGTTGCAGCACATTGCTGCTCTGAAATGGGACAGCTTGCTATTTATACAGGATGTCCCAAGCATTTTGCCGAAGCCTTGCGTTCGGGCTGTTTTGTGCTTGTGCGGCTTCAGATGCATTGATGACACCCTGTTCCGCCATGCAGGGGCCAATTTGGTGGTTCAGTACGAGGCTCCTGCATCTCACGAACCTCCAAATACACTTGCTCACGGTTGAGGTCTTCTACATTCAAGCCAGCGTACTGAGATCCAACTTTGCAACTGCGTGTGGCATGTACATGGAGCCACCTGAATGCAAGATTATGTTATGAAAATCTACCATGTTGCAAGACAATGAGATCAAGCTGTTGCAGACTTGTTCACTTAAGTTGTTGCTCACGTTGAATGACTGAATCGGCCAGCCCAACTCAGTTTTGTATGCTTCTCAGCTCAGGCATTCGCTGAGACGTGCTAAGAGAATCGTCACTAGCAATGCATATGCAGTGATTCAGGACTCATCAGCATGTGCTGGTCCTTGCAGTGTGAACAGCATCGCAATGACTACACTCAATGCTCAGGACCTTGAGCCAGACAACTTGTATTTGGTGAACGTAGTCGCGAGGACATTGAGTGATTTCGATGTTGAACGTTGATGCTCGTGTCAAGGAGCTTGACAAAGGGTCAGGTGGTTGCTTTCAAGCCGTGGACTGGATACGTCAGGCTCGTGCCGGAACACTGCGCTTCTTTACGCGTATGGCCAGAATGACTGTTTGCTGAGAGCCATTCCACGCACGGGCAGATCTAAGATAACCTAAGGACAATGTTAGATTATGTCACGTGCTCCCAGACTCATTGTTTCACCAGCTCCATCCAGCGGACTACTTGTGCAGTGCCAGCTTTGGATAGTGCAACGTTGGAGCTGTCGATTCTCATGCAGGCATGAAGCGAAAGAGGCTGCCAATGGAGCGCAGCATTTGTTTCCTGGCGCGGGTAAAGGGGACGCTGCCATGCTACGAGCTGTGACGCATCCAAGGTTCTCTACAGCGGCGCTTCTTCTTTGCGGCTTGCTTTGCTTTGCGGGGGGCCAAGATAATACGATATATATATATATAATAATAATAACAATAATAATGATGATGATGATGATGATGATGATGATAATAATAAAATACTCAGTTTGAGGTTGACGCATCCTATGCTGCGATTGGAATCTGCTCATGCATCAGGCGTGGTGTTGTCGGCAAGGCTGTACAGGCTGGGCTGCAATTGCCCTGACTGTACCAGTACTACTATGATTCAAGCCTGACTTTGAGACAGGCCGAGCAAACATCAACGCTGTCTTGCAAAGCATAGAGCTTCCTTTTTGGAGGAGGCGCTGTCCTTGATTCATTGATGGATGTTTCAGGCAAGAGTGTGCAAGTTGAATGGCCATCTGAGCCGATTGGCGCCATTCGACACTCGCAGTTCTCCCCAGCACTACCGCAGCCTTGAAGCTGTAGGCGGCGCTGTGTCGAGCTGGGCACATTTTGTCGTAAGCGAGCAGCAAGAAAGTGAGAAAGTGCCTGGGTGATGGTTGGAGGCCGCACAGTCGGTAGCTATTCGCCACCAGGATGGGCGCGGCGCCCAGTCTGGGCTGGGGCCAACCGATTGCCTCTTTCCTGACTTGTGCCATTGTGAACACTTGACTTTGGCTCACATGACCTTGCGGTTGATGTTCAAAGCTTGAAGCCTGCAGTAGCCCGACTACGAGCGCAAGATTCACTGAGCAGAGCGATTGGAACGCTACCGTGAGCATGTAGTTTTTTGCATCAAGAATTGCAGACGTAGTGAAGAGTGCAGCAGCCATCTCTCGCTCGCTCTCTCTCTCTTTCTCTCTTTCTGAGAGTGAGTGGTGTGAGCAGCTGAAGCTAGATTGGGGTACGCGTAGGCTTTCTGAGGTGTAAGGATCACTCACGTCATCATGCAGGAACTGCTGCTCCGCTCTGCTTACACAGGGGATTGCACGCTGCGACCGCGGGTAAGGTTTGTCAGCAGTGGAGAAAATACATGTGCATGTCAAGCTTTGCAGTAAAGGGGTTGACAACAGGCTGCGGCGCTTCAGTTTGCGTTGTGATTGCATAGCAAAGCGAGCTCCATTTAACCTTGCACAGCTGAATTGGTTGGTGAGGCTGCAACTTGAAGCAAGGAAGGCAGGATTATCAGCGCTGCTGCACAGCAAAGAGAACTCGTCTACAGGGAGACAATAGCGCAAGGGTGCAGTGCTCAGACCAAGACTTGACAAGACATTCTTTGCCGCCGTGCGCTTTTGCGCCGCTGACGGCTGCAAAGTGCGGTTGGTCGTCGTTCTTGTTGTCGTACTTTGTAGACAGAACAGACGTGGTCTTCTTCACGGTCATTGCGATCTTTGAAGTTTTGTTGGGTTGCTGACTCTGTAACGCGCTAGATCGCCAAGCCCCCCCCCCCAAGCATCCACATGCGCACTTCCAACAAAACAAACTGGTTAAAGCGACGGCGAGGGCATGCTAAGAGCAAAGTGCCAGCAGCATTGCTACACGTGATCATGTTCACGCAGAAGCAATCTGCGTTTGGCCTCTCCGCGAGCGTGTAAAGTTTGTCGACTGGTGTAGCCCGCCAAACCACTTGGCAGAGGTGCCGCAACAGCTCAGCCTCAACAGATATGTTCGGCTTGTTTGCCGTGCACTTCAGTTTTTTTGTTTTGCATTGTTTTTCCAAATCTTGCTTTCATCGTGCTGTGAGCCAACAAGACGGGCTGCCAAGACTCGATGGCCACCTTGACGCAGAACAGCTGCTAAATTTCCTCGGTACCGTTTGACTGCCAGCCACAGATAAAGCAACGATGCTACTGCTACGCGCAAGACTACTCTGCAACAACGAGCCGAGCGTCTACTTGGCGCCTGCAAGATACAAGGAATCACCCCAACGTCGCAATTCAGCCAAACCCGCATTCAACTGTGACACCAACAACACGCCCAACCTGGATGTCTTTGTTGACACAGGCCACATCAGCAGCATAAGTTCATCCGAGTCAGAGTCACTGCAGGGATGGGCAAAGCTGTTCTGGTTCAAGAACAGCACTGCGTTCATGAACATAGAGTCAGCTGTCAGCTGACCCAATGCAGAGCAGGCTCCCATGCGGGGGCTGCACCATTGCAGCAATCGTAGCAATTTCCGCTTCTTTGCCCTTGCTTGAGGCTGCCAAAGCAGCGTCCAGCCGCTCGTCAGCCCGGTCCTATGCAGCCAGCGCACGGAGTGTTCCAATGAGCTTGGAGCACCTCGAGACGGCGTTGCTGGCGCTCGAGAAACAACGTGGCACTCCAGAGTTGGCGGGAACCGTGACAGAGATCGACAAGATGGTGACAGAGATGAAAGGGATGGTTCGAAACCAATCTAAACTCACACAGCAGACTATCAACCAAGCGTGGTCGGATTTCATCTCCTGCGCAGGGCTGTATGACATCGATTCCCGATCGGACTTGCAGTCCGTGGACAGCATTGCGCGTGTGCATGCAAATTGCCGCCTGGAAGAGTCTGGGAAGAAGATGATTCTAGATGCTTGTGAGAAGGAGCTGGCCGTCAGAAGTGCAAGTGAGCTGCAGCGAAAAGGGGAGTTTGACACTCTGAACCAATTTCCCAGCAGCGGCTTCTGTGCACATCATACAAACTCTCAACAGTATAGCACTGTCAGAGGATACATAAAGCACTACAGGGATCACTTTGCTTCCCACTTGCTGTCTTGGGAAAATGCGTTCAATGCCTCCACGGATGCCACCAAAGCAAAGCTCCACACGTTGCGCGATTGCTATGGCGATGATCGGACGAAGAATGGACAGGGTGGCAAGGAAGAAGCCTTGGTGACAAAAAAAGTCGACTGCCAAAAGCTTCAGCGCAAAGTTGAGGATGCAGCCTGCGATCGGATCGCTCACCGAGCTGACTGCGTGTCCTATGCCAAGTGCTATGAATCGAACCACAACGCCTACTTTGCGTCAGGCCAAACGAAAGAGACGTCCATCCAGCAGTCGGGGAAGCAGCGCGAGGAGTATCGCGCCTTGGTTCGGATCAAATGCGTCTTGGACGCTTATGCTACCTACCAGGATGGGCCGTCGCTCTCAAAGTCCATTTCTGATTGCCAGCAAGTCCAGGCTGATGTGTCCTTTCTGGATATTTCTCTCCCAGACGAAGCTGACGCCATGCCCCCTGACAACACCGCCTGCTTGCAGCATAGCTCATCTGAAAAGCCGGGTGTCTTTGCTGCATCGCAGGCATGCACCCACTGTCGACCGTGTTAGGCTGGGTGGAAGCAATGGAAGCTGAGGCAGCGAGAGCTTCACAACCCAATTCTACCAGAGCCTTATCGCAAAGGATGATTCCACGCATTGGGACAACACCAAGGATGATGTGCTGACATGCTGAGGCCTCAGGTTTGCAGCCGCATCGGGATAGTCACTATCGGATAGTGTCTTGAGATGTCTTGAGAGTGGATTCGGTTGCGGCAATAGCCTGCGACAAACATGAGAACTGAGGCAAGGGCAGGTGCTGCCCGCTGCCAACTGATGCGACGGTTTAGCCATGCGCTAGGCGAGCTTTGTCAAGTTGAAACTGCCAGGTGATGGATCTAGATCTAACAAACTGTGCATGCTCTACGGTTCCCTTAGCAGCTACTGATGTGTCCCAATGTGATAGTTTGGCCAAGTCGTGAGCCTGAGTAACTGAGTTGTTGCGATGGGCCGTCATGTCTGGCCCAAGCATAAGTTGAGTCTAGTTTGTCCGAGATGAAAGACCAAGAAAGCTTGGCGAAGCCTCAATCAGCGCAATTTCACAGCCAACACGATTGAGGCAAGAGAACACGGGGAAGACGTCCCTGCTCGCGACCAAAAAAAATGATAATTCACGATGAACATTAAAATGAAAATATAAAATATATTAACTGATTTGATATATTTATTATATAAAATGAAATCATGAAATTTATTTATTGTATTTATATATATATATATAGGATTGCATTTCCCGTAATATTCCAGATATTTGGACGATAGTATTTTCGGAAAACGGTCTTCGAAATATTCGGAATATTTCGAGAAATGATGGGTGATTATAATATGCCCGAAATATTTGGAATATTTTGGGAAATTGGTTTTTGTAAAAAATGAAGGTATTGTGTTTTCTGGGTTATGGTCGGGGTAGCCCAGATAGATTTGGGTAAATGGTCCGAAGGAAATATGAATCGGTTATATTTTTTAGGGGTAGTCTGGACCAATTGCCCGAAATATTTAGGATTGTTCTTCGAAAAATGGTTGAATGAAATCGTTGTATTTTCCAAATAAAGAGTCGGGGCATATATTTATATATATATATATATATATATTTGTTTGTCCATAGCTATTTTGGCTGAAATCTTGGTCCATTTTCCGAGAATTTAGCGATACGAGAAATTATGAGCCGCGGCCGATTGTTGCGATTAGTGGTGTTTTACTCAATGCTTTGGACGATATTAGTTTGGCTTTGCTTGCACCTAGGATATTTTCTTTGTCGATTATGTTGTCGTTTGTGTTTGTAACAATTGCATATGAGGATGGATTTTTTGAGGATAACAGCTCGCGGATCCGTTCTCACCTTGTTCAAGCGACCGATTCTTTGGCATGACCTTATCGCGATTAGTCCGGCCCTTAGTGTATCTCGCGAGCTGTATTTGGAGAACGGTATATTTTTCGCATACAAAGAGTGTATTTATAGATATATATATACAATATAATCAAAGGAAGTTTAACAAGAAACTTCCGTAGTACTGGAACTAAATGAGCTAGCTGCTTTGATATATAGCTATGACAGGTAGCTAGCATGACAAATAGATAGCTTTGACATATAGCTAGCTTGACAGATAGATAGCTTTCCAATAGGCTTGCATGACAGATAGATAGCTTTGACATATAGCCAGCTTAACACGTAGATAGCTTTCTCAAGTATAGATTTCGTGGCAGGCGCAGCACTTTCGCAAGCACTCTCTGCGAGCTGGGGGATGGCAAGATGCAGAAAACGTTGGCGCTGTGCGTGAATTGGGCTTCCGGACTGTGCGCAAACCACCTCGGCTGCGACGCCTGTACGGCGGCGGTCTCGGAACGGTCTCGGAACGGTCTCGGAACGGTCTCGGAAACGGTCTCGGAACGGTCTCGGAACGGGTTCGGAGACGGGCCCATTGGCACGGCCGCGCGAAGGTTTCGCAAGGTTTGAATTGCGTTGGCAGGCGCAGCACTTTCGCAAGGTCAAGTATAGATTTCGTGGCAGGCGCAGCACTTTCGCAAGGTCAAGTATCGATTTCGTGGCAGGCGCAGCACTTTCGCAAGCACTCTCTGCGAGCTGGGGGATGGCAAGATGCAGAAAACGTTGGCGCTGTGCGTGAATTGGGCTTCCGGACAGTGCGCAAACCACCTCGGCTGCGACGCCTGTACGGAGGCGGTCTCGGAACGGTCTCGGAACGGTCTCGGAACGGTCTCGGAACGGTCTCGGAACGGGTTCGGAGACGGGCCCATTGGCACGGCCGCGCGAAGGTTTCGCAAGGTTTGAATTGCGTGGCAGGCGCAGCACTTTCGCAAGGTCAAGTATAGATTTCGTGGCAGGCGCAGCACTTTCGCAAGGTCAAGTATCGATTTCGTGGCAGGCGCACTTTCGCACACTTTCGAGCTGGCAAGCAAACTTGGCGCTGTGCTGCGGACAGTGCGCAAACCACCTCGTGCGACGAGGCGTGGAACGGAACGGTTCGGAACGGTCTCGGAAGAAAATTGGCACGTTTCGCAAGGTTTGAATTGCGTGGCTGTTTCGCAAGGTCAAGTATAGATTTCGTGGCAGGCGCAGCACTTCGCAAGGTCAAGTATCGATTTCGTGGCAGGCGCAGCACTTTCGCAAGGTGCTGCGTCCACTCTCTGCGAGCTGCAAGATGCAGAAAACGTTGGCGCTGTGCGTGAATTGGGCTTCCGGACTGTGCGCAAACCACCTCGGCTGCGACGCCTGTACGGAGGCGGTCTCGGAACGGTCTCGGAACGGTCTCGGAACGGTCTCGGAACGGTCTCGGAACGGTGTCTCGGAGACGGGCCCATTGGCACGGCCGCGCGAAGGTTTCGCAAGGTTTGAATTGCGTGGCAGGCGCAGCACTTTCGCAAGGTCAAGTATAGATTTCGTGGCAGGCGCAGCACTTTCGCAAGGTCAAGTATCGATTTCGTGGCAGGCGCAGCACTTTCGCAAGCACTTCTGCGAGCTGGGGGATGGCAAGATGCAGAAAACGTTGGCGCTGTGCGTGAATTGGGCTTCCGGACTGTGCGCAAACCACCTCGGCTGCGACGCCTGTACGGAGGCGGTCTCGGAACGGTCTCGGAACGGTTCGGAACGGGTTCGGAACGGTCTCGGACGGGCCCATTGGCACGGCCGCGCGAAGGTTTCGCAAGGTTTGAATTGCGTGGCAGGCGCAGCACTTTCGCAAGGTCAAGTATAGATTTCGTGGCAGGCGCAGCACTTTCGCAAGGTCAAGTATCGATTTCGTGGCAGGCGCAGCACTTTCGCAAGGTGCTGCGTCCACTCTCTGCGAGCTGGGGGATGGCAAGATGCAGAAAACGTTGGCGCTGTGCGTGACTTGGGCTTTCGGACAGTGCGCAAACCACCTCGGCTGCGACGCCTGTACGGAGGCGGGTTCGGAACGGTCTCGGAGCGGGTGCGGAACGGGTTCGGAAACGGGCCCATTGGCACGGCCGCGCGAAGGTTTCGCAAGGTTTGAGTTGCGTGGCAGGCGCAGCACTTTCGCAAGGTCAAGTGTAGATTTCGTGGCAGGCGCAGCACTTTCCCAAGGTCAAGTGCAGATTTCGTGGCAGGCGCAGCACTTTCGCAAGGTCAAGTATAGATTTCGTGGCAGGCGCAGCACTTTCGCAAGGTGCTGTATCCACACTCTGCGAGCTAGCAAGATGCAGAAAACGTTGGCCCCGTTCGTGAATTCGGCGTTGCGACGCCTGCTCGGCAGAGGGTTCGGGGCGGTCTCGGAACGGTCTCGGCAGAGAGACGGAGAGATCGATATGTTAAAGAAAGAAAGACTTAAAGACAGAAAGACAGGAAGGACGGAAAGAAAGACTGAGAGAAAGAGAGTCAGCGAAAGAGAGAAGCACGACAAGTGCAGGAAGCCGCAGAAAGACACGGGTGTCTTTGATTGCTCAGTCCAAGGCACTCTGCAAGAGTAACTGTCTTTTGGCAGACTTTACGTGGCTCAAATGTAGTTACTTTCGTGACTTGGGCATTTGGCACACCTCACACCTGACCACGCAACTTGTCACACTTTACTCAACCCCACAGTCAGTCAAGCGCTCCAAGGGATGTTGTTTTGTGTTGTTCTGTTTGTGCAGAGAGTCACAGTCTGTAAGCAGTATTAGTGGCGCCCGTGTTTCCCCTCAGGGGGACTTTTTACAGACTACTCAGAAAATCAACAACGCATACGACTTTTTTTCAGAGGTTGGTGCTTCGGCCGGCCGCTTGCGCACCCGCTACTCAGGGCAGCTTGGCGTTTCGGCCGGCTGCTCGCGCCATGGATCGCGATGACAGCAACACTAGTGAGGACCGCTTTCAGGTCCTGTTGACCTACCTGGCGGCAAACGCCGCAGAACTGCGACAGCTGCAGTGCCAAGACATGGCCTCGCTTTTGCGCACTGGCGAGGCCAGGCGAGGCAAGCCGGCCATTCCAGACAGGGCCGCCTTATACCGGTTCCTTCAGAGACAGGGCCACGCTTTTACAGAGGGGCAGAGGGAGGAGCTCCGGGCATGGGAGGCTCGGCTGTGCGTGTCGCCCAAGCAAGCGCAGCCGGAGCTCCAAGATCAGTATGAAAGGTTTCTCGCGCTGCTTGAGAAACGAGCAGATTTTTTTATTAGCTTGCGCAAGGTGTCTTTGAAAGCTTTATTTGAAGTCCACGCAGCGAAGACCGACAAGGAGCTTCGGTTCGGCAAAAACTTCATGCTTCGCTGCTACCCACAGCTTTCACAAGAGCAGAAGGACGAGCTGGCCGAGTGGGAGGCCATGCTTTGTGAGCCTGGCGAGGGCGAGCGCCTGGCGTTTCGGCCGGCGCTGCAGCGACAGCTGGAAAAGTTTATCGCGGTGCTCGAAAATCGAGCTGAGTACTTGCAGAGCTTGCAGAAGCCTTCGCTTAAAGCTTTGTTTGAAGCGCACGCCGTGAAAAATGATCAGGAACTCAAGTTCGGCCAAAATTTCATGCTTCGCTGCTACCCGCAGCTTTCGCAGGAGCAGATGGACGAGCTGGCCGAGTGGGAGGCCATGCTTTCCCTGGGCATCGGCTCTTGATTTAAATCAATGGGAAGTTCATGTTCTGAATTGATATTGATTTTTGTCGTTTCTATGGATTAAATCAATATTTGAAGTATGTTGTGTTTTCCCAAATTCTGTTGATATTAATTTGTCATTTTCTTCTTGCTTTCTATTGATTTTTTTTGACAATTCTATTGATGTGAGTTTGGGTCCTGTGCCTCTGGAACTTGGGCTCAAATCCTAGAATGCTTGTGCACATGGGCAACCCTTGATAAAAGGGATTGCTTGCCAGCGCCCTTGGTAAAAGGTATAGTGCCCTTGGTAAAAGGTCACTAGTGCCCTTGGTAAAAGGGTCATGAGTGTTGGCAAAGGTGGGGCCAGGCACACCCCCAACCTCACATAGACCCAGGACTGCTCCTCAAGGAGATTTCCAAGCACTCAGGCTTGATTCAAGATCTTGGCAGCTATGAAAAAATCTCTAGGTCACAGGCATCTGACCCAAAAGTCTGCTTGCCCTTGCTAAAAGGGCTGGTTGAACTGTCACCCATATGTGAGATTCATGGGGCTTGCCTCAGGCAAG